TTTTTTTTTTGTTTTATTTTTTTTTGTTTTTATTTATTTTTTGTTTTTTTTGTTTTTTGTTTTTTCAGTGTTTTTGATGAATTTTTTAAAACATTGTTTTGTTGAATTATTTTTCGGCGTTGTCGATACTGCTGTGGTGCGGTGCTGCTATTAATGTGGAGATTGATAACGTTGAGCAAATTCATCGCTGGTTGATAGTCGAATAGCTGATGTTCAGGGTTACAGGTGGAAAGGGTGGGGATTTATGCTGTCGTCGAATGGTGGACAGGAGGGGAGAAGCTCACAGAATTGAATCCACAGAATCACAAATGTCCGCTTATGTCCACAAAGTGTAAGTAGCGGTTTTCCTGATCAAGCACCGGTCTCGCAGAGGATTGACTGAATCAGAAAGTCCCTTCAGCACAAACTTCGAAACCATCATAATAACGGCAAAAATGTCGACGAGCATACGACGACGTGACAGCAAACGGCGACGATCACAATATGGTTGGTGTTGTGTGGTGGAATTGTAGAGTCGATTCACTGGCTTCGTGAATACTCTTCTGTACAGTCGACATGGAACGTGCTGCTAGACAAATGGAGCGCATCATAGGGAAGGAAGTAAAATTTGTTCATTTTGTTGGACGGAAACGACGTTTGATATCAGTATTGAATGATTCCATTCGTTATTGATGTTTGGGAATCATATGGAGTGGGGCTTTCTCGGTCAGATAGCGGACTTGTTCACGTTTCGTTGCTCTGAATCACTTGAAATGATTTCACAGTTTAAGCCTTCAGTAACATCAATGAGCAACTTGGAGATGACGACAGGAGCTGATTAACTACTGCGTTGACATGGACATCGTTGGGGGGATAAGCATTAAGCACGCTGCAATGACTTTGTAAGAGATTTTCCGTCGTCTTGATATCGATATTATGATTGATGCAACTCCTGAACACAGATAACACTTCTGCACGCAAGTGATTGACCTTATCAATGAAGTTGATCGAAGTTTCCCAGCTGGATAAGGTTTGTTAGTACAGCAGCACTGGTGAAGTTGCTTTTTGAGGGATCATTTTTTGCTTTGATTATACGGTTGAGCGATGAATTTGTGGCGAGATCGGTCCACAGATAGCGATGCTGAGTACTGGATTCGATGAAACTTTAATGCAGCATCCTCGATGGTGATATGATTTCGATGTGTAGATGTTGGTGTTGATATCATCATAGCATTCATTATGCGATAATGAAATATTGCAAAACAATAACACTTTAATATTACAAAACAATAAGGTAGGATCCGTAATCGGGATAGTACCAATCGGGAGAAGGATTCGGCTGTTTCCACATTTTGTAGAGAGGGAGAGGGATAATCATTAACGATTCAAACCCTTCCGCATTTGAAATAATCTTCTCTGGAAGGGTTTGAATTCGCTCAATCATGATGAAACGTCTGGAAATTATTCCTGGGATTTCTACATCTTTTGTCGATTTTTTTCGATAGTTTTACCTCATGTTCCCTAATTTTCCACTGAACATTTTACTTAATTTCCCAACCCACCAACTGATTTACCTTCCGGATAATTCTGTTCACAAGAATCTTTGAAAGCTGATGGAGATTTCCCATCCCCCATACATTTACGGATCTGGAAATGACACTGAGCATAGACATCCACAAACAAACAAAAACTAAGAGCAGTCTGAGCAAAGAAACAATGCTTCAAAAATACTGACTAAGCAGCGATTCGGACGATACAAATTTATAACGGTTACGAGAGATATGAGACTCTCTGATTATTGCCATTGCATGATATCAAAAAACATTCAAGCAACTGAATGAATTCATAGAGACATTCTTAACAACACTGCAATAGACTTTTCACGACTATAATATTTTAAGCGCTACAATCGTTTTCAGTTGAATTGTCACACTCTTATCAATTGAACATCATCCAAAACATCATACCGAACCTATGGCAAGCAATTCGAAAAAGCCTTCGAATACACAGTATAATTCTCTTTGATTGCTTGTCATGGAACATTAGTTTTTTTCCACAACATCATGAAAGGTCTATTGTATAATCTCTAATGACATCAGCTCATAAATATTATCGTTCATATCAGATACTTTCTAATTTACATGGTATTAGAAAGTATTTACACTCGAACATATCAAATACGATCAGGTAACGAAACTGGACACTGATGAAAACAAGGCATTGGTAAGAAAGAATGATGAATGACATTTTATATTTCAAAGATGGTTCCCAGAACCATAACATCATATATCCCCGGATAAACATTTTCGCCAGGATTGGTGCATGCGTTGCATTGTAGCATTCATATTGTACTTGATCTTTTCTTTTGAATGCCTCTTAAGCAAGGACTGTGGCTCTAGAACTACCAAGTCATTTATGATCCAACCTCCCATCATCTCTGTCAGTACTTTGGATTACTTATTAACTCCTCAGTGGTTTCCAACAACGTCATGTTGCAAACTTTCAGGTGGGGCATATGCTTCTGCACAACCCTGTTGAGTTTCGATGAAGTGAAACGTATTGTACAGAGATGCTTAATCAAAAGAACTTATTTTCCTTGGTGATTCAAAAATTTCATCCATGGTTTGATCCTTATAAGTTCGTGGAATCCTAAGTGGAACAACTCGGGTTTGATTTCATCCCAAATAAAGTAGTCGAACTCGCTGTGGTTACTCCTACAGTATTATTCATCAACTTCTAAAGCATCTAGCATCGCATTCAAGTAACAGAAATCACGTCAACGTTCAATATGCAGAAGCGGTTTGATACATGAGAGCCTTGTAATAAGGATTCGTTGTCTCAAAATTCATATAACCAATTGTGCCTTACTCAAGGAAGCATGTTACTGCTTGACCGATCACAGGTTCGAAAAATAGCCAAATGCACTTCACAAAGACGTTTCGATATGTTTTTCGATTAATCCAGACTCTATCCTCAGTTTCACCTCTGTAATGCTTGCACTCTCATAACTCTAACTGTATTACTGAAAAAGACCCTTCCAGCTTAAGCCCACTTATAAATTTCTTCCATCAGCTCATTTGTACCAAAAAAGATGCGCAGAAATTATCAACGTGGGACATACTCATTGATAAATTCTAATAATATTCACAACCTTCACTAGCCCAATATTCCTACATACTTCACTAAATAATACCTTACTACACCTGCTATTGGCAGTAACTATAATAAGTTTCCCATAGTTATCGCTACCAGCATTGCTCTTTTCAGTGACGTTACTGTTATGATCATTGTTGCCACTGCCATCCTACTGGCACGGCCAATACAAATACCCTTGCTTCAATCGCTATCACACTTTACTGTTCCTTTTAACCACGATACTAAGCAAGCTTTTCTTGGGTTCATATCATCAATCTCATCTACATCTTTATCATAAACATAACTGTCATTGACTCTCATATTCCGATTCTGGCATAAAATCGCTTGCGCGCAACCTCTATGGTAAATAGGTTGTGCTATCGCAACAATCAAATTCACCACAAACAAATGACGACTCATCATTAATGTTCTCTGCACTCATCATTAATGTTCTCTGCAGTAAGCTGCAATAGCGATTGAAGCAAGGGTATTTGTACATGAACCGTGAATATCACTTTAGCCGGTCATGATAATCGGCGATAATATATGACAATATTTCACATACTCCTAGTCACTATTCATGTAATATCGAAAGAAAACTTGACGTGAATAAAGTTGAGCCATCGAGGAGCGGAATTTTTAAACGCTAGCAAATTCATTGTCAATGGCATCGCATTTAAGTAACAATGAAAAACCGAACGGTGAACCGAACGATGAAGAATCGAACGACTGCTGGCAGATTCACCGATGACAATGAAGTGAAAACGAATCATACTCGATGTTTATGTCTTTATGGTTTGATCTATGAAACAGAACAATCAGTGGGCGTTGCCGAGAATAATATGAAAGCAGTGGGCGTTGACGAGAATAATATGAAAGCAGTGGGCGTTGCCGAGAATATCATGAAAGCAGTGGGCGTTACAACAATACACAATGGAAGCTGACGAGAGTGATAGTCATCATATCAATCAATGAATGCGACACAACGGCAATGCCGTGAATGGTTTAGTGGGCAAGTGAACCACTGAAACATGACGACTACATAAACGTGAAATTTCATAGCGAGCAGTTTTCATCGAAATTGCTTACTTCCCCAGGGAAGAAGGGAATTTCGTTGGGAAATGGAACAGGAGATTGTGAGAGGATGAAGCTGCAAGATGACACGGAAACTGATCAGAAAGATGAACCTAATCATGTAAAGATGAGCCTGATCCGTTTACAATGAAGTCTTCATTGGAAGCGTTTGTCATTGCATGGAAACCGGAATCGTTGAACATTCAAAAACGGTATAATGATGTGCAAAGTTCCATTTGAATATATGCGATAAAAAAGCTATCAATGCAAATTCCTTCCCGAATGTGAGATGGAGAAGGCTCGAAATAAATGAGCCATTCTTTTTATAATATAGCACGTCGAGCGGTCGTCTGAGGAGCATTGAAATTCAATGCCATTGCGTGTAATAGGTAAGGAAATAATTTGCCACTTGTAGGCAAGAAGCTTCATGTCACTTACATCAAATTTCATGATTATTTTTACATCATTTGGTTTGATAGTTGTAATGGAATTGGATGGATCGAAGTGATCCAATCCCACAAACCATTTTTCTGAACATAATCAAAATCGCTCGACAATACATACACTTTTCTAAAACTAGAGAATTTGGAGAATGCAATGATGTTAAGAAACGACTACGTTTCATGGCAAACTTGAGGACAACGTGAGTTTGAAAATGGTAATTCTGATACTGCTGAGGTAATGTGCTGACTGATCAATAGTGATATAATGCATCGAAACGAGTGTCGCCCAGCTAGTTGAGATAAGTTCAGAAAATCAGCTATATCTCCTGAAGTAAGCAAAATCGCTCTGCAACATTTATACATTTCTGAAAGCAGAGAATCTGGGGAAACTAATCGTGTAAAGAAATTGGCATGTTACTGGGCAAACCTGAGGAGACGGTTAGTTTGAAGATGGTCACCCTAATGCTCCTATAGTAAAGTGCACATTGATCAATAGTGATACAATGTATTGGAACGAACGCCACCGAGCCACTTGAGATAGGTTCTGAAAATCAGCTTATTTCCTCAAGTAAGCAAAATCGCCCGACAATATATATATTTTACTGAATCTAGAGAATTTGTGAAATCCAGTGATGTAAAAAAATTGCCATGTTACTGGGCAAACCTGAGGAGACGGATAGTTTGAAGATGGTCACCCTAATGCTCCTATAGTAATGTGCACACTGATCAATAGTGATACAATGTATTGAAAGGACCGCCGCCGAGCTACTTGAGGTATAATACATTCATAAAATCAGCTATTTCTCTGAACCTAAGCAAAATGGCCTGACGGCATATATACTTTTCCGAAACTAGAGAATCCGGAGAATACAGTGTTATGAGGGAATGCCAATGTTTCATGCAAAGTGATGATTCTTATCCTCTGATTGCGGATTTCTTTTTGCACGATTTCAGCGTCGCGTGCTGATATAGTTTTTGGATTACAATGTGATTCTGTCGTAGACTCGACTGACTCTCACTTATCAAAAGGATGCACCGGAGTCTTTAGGAGAACCAAACAACATATATATGCCTTCCTATATATACAGGAGTTTCTATATATTTCTGTATAAATAGGCCAGCATTTATATACGAGTGGCATCATCACCATTAATTCAGAAAAAAACTATTTTATGTAATCAAGCGTTCTTATCAGATGCCAGAACTGCTTTTAGGTGTCACTCCAATGAGCGACGAAGGACCGGTCGACTTAGATATTGGAAGAATTGTGGGTAAACGATGGCAAATCTTGGAGAAACTCGGTGAAGGTGGTTGCGGTGCAGTGTTTAAAGTTCAAGATATACAAACATATGCTAAAGTACGCATCGAAAGCTATCATCGAGCAGTAACAATGTTTTAACTTACAAAACATCGAGCGCCCCTGCTTCTGGTTCTATTTCTTCACTTTATCCATACTGAAAGTCTCTCATGGAAATCAAAACACAATGCAGTGATTTCAGGCAGCACTTAAAGCAGAATCGAATTTTGTTGCTGGTGGAAGTGTTCTGAAATTAGAAGTACAGGTGAGCCAGAAATAGTTTTAAGTCCGGAATGTTCCCTTTGGCATCCTTGAGAACAATCAAATGAGCACATCAACGATCTGTTGACTAAATGAATCCTGAATTTATTCAGATATTACGACGACTAGAAGGACGGCCGTATATTGCACAATTGCTTCAAGCTGCAAAGAAGTCGACGTAAGTGAAAATTTTTGAGTAAAAAATCGTCAGATTGATGTGTCGGTGACAATTATTAAGAATCCACCGAAGATAACCTCTTTGGCCTTGTTCTCGATGAAGCAATGCGAAGAGGCTATTCTATAGTATCGGGTGTGCACAAAACACATTTGAAATTCTACAGAATAACAATTCTAAGTGCCCAATTGCAACAATGATCGAGCTGAGCAGTTGACTGGCACAAATTCGTGGAGCCAGAAAGGTGCTGACTGCATTTGACTGCAGTTTGAGACTTGTGCGTTGAGCAGCAGATCAATCTAATGCTTGAGACATAACTTCGTAGAATTATATTATGAATATTATTATGTGATATTATTGTTATCTGAATATGCGAAGAAATATTATCTGACTTGATTCCCGAATAGTTATCGAATCAGGCTGTAATTAGTGAATAATTATTATGAGTGAAAATGAGCTGCTGCGTTGAATCGGCCATCATTCGGTGAACGATTCGAAAAGGACATTGCAAATTTCGAGTGTTTTCTCTCTGCTTATTCGATGGCAGTTTCAGCTACTCATATATGGTGATGACATTATTTGGTCATTCACTGAACTGTCTTCTGCGGAAGTGTGGACAATGTAGTACATCAACACAGGTCAGAGTTGGTATCAATATGTTGTACGGTATAAAACAATTACATGAGGTTCATTTGCATTGCTCTATGATTTATTTGATTTGGAATTATTGCTTTCGTTTGAATGTTTTGTTTATCGTCTGATATTTTACATTAGTAATGAAGTATTGTTTTGTTTATTTATTTATTCACTTATTAATTTGAACAATAGACCATATTATTTAATGTTTTGAAACAAAGCGCAGTGTTCAGTGCGTTTAATTGTGTCGATCGAGCATCAATTGGCGGAGATCGATGCAGTGGCGACGGGATTCACTGTTCCAGAGTGCTAGCAATCGCTCAAAAATTTTCAGGTTGGATTCATACATCGCGACGTGAAGCCGGCCAATTTAGCAGTTGGAAGACGAGGAAAAGAAGCACGAATAATTCACATTCTAGATTTTGGCTTATCTCGAGAATATATCATAAGCGTTGGTGGAGTGGTGAAACTCCGAGAACCAAGACCCAGAGTTCTTTTTCGGTTGGATTTCTCTTGATCCGATCGATCACTTCTTTTAATTGCTGCATCAATGATCTCATTCCATCCGCAAGCAGTGGCTGATTTTGGAGTGACAGTCCGTTCACATTCTACAAAATACTTCGTGTTTTGCAATGAAGAACCATTTGCTTGGATTGAGTGCTGCATATATCCTATATTCTTTCAGAATGTGTTTGAAAATGCATAAAATTAAAATGCACACTGATGATTTTGCTTGATGCTCAACTAGATGCAATCGAATTTCAGAGGAACAGTTCGGTACTGCTCGGTGAACGCACATGCACGATGTGAACAAGGACGACCCGATGATCTATGGTCAATGATTTACGTGCTCGTTGAGTTGAGAGGCCCACTGCCGTGGTGTAGAGTCAAGTTAGTTAACAATTTCATTCACAAACTCATCTCTAAATCAATGAATACAGGCTCCTATTTCTAAAATGTCTGGACTGAATGTGAAATTTCAGTGAAGTTTCTATCGAAAAATTTTCAGAAAGAAACACAAAGTTGGAAAAATAAAGAACGAAATATCCGATGAAGAATTATTCCAAAACTGTCCAAAAGAACTCGTTGAAGTGAGACATTTATCTTCTCAGTTCAAATCCTCTTTTACTTATTGGTATGAGAATTGTGAGGCTCTTAAGCAGCAATGAAGATGCTCACAAACATGTCTAAGTGGCATGCGTACCAGCAGCATTTCATGATGCTAATCGTGCCAGCTCGCATTAATCTCTTATGATCGAACTTTAAAAGCCGCGGAATTAGTACGGTGTTAACGTGATCTATGAATTCACCCAATCTTGAATAGTCATATAATCAGCACTCATATATTAATAATGCGATATTTTTCAGATAGCTGAGCACTTGAGAACATTGGATTATTTCAAAAGACCCGATTATTTACTCATCTACAATAAATTTGCAAGCGTCATGTCACAATATCACTACAGGTATTCACCTTCTGCTAAACATAATATTAGTTGTTCAAATGCATTATGCTGTCGATCTCATTGACCATTTATATCGCATTCGCTGGATTTCCAATCCATTTCCATTCGGATCGCGTTATTGATGAAGCTAGCAATTGCAACGCGAACGAACATCATTCTGCGGAGTATTCGTGGTTCCTGTGAACGTTTTCAATAATTTGTGTGAGACTCCTGTTTCAGAAGCGTCTCTCTGAAGTCTCCATATGCATTTGATCAGCTAAAATTTTGAGCCTCTAGGTAGCTTCTACGCTTTTATCATATGTCGATGGGAAACTTGCAATCGTTGGGGTTACGAAAGATTGTGCAATTATGATATGAAATCATTTTATTTCAGGTTTAGCGATCCATTTGACTGGGAAGAGACAGTCACCACAACAACTACTACAAATGCTACTACGAACACCACCAGTATTCCCAGTATTCCAGATAAAGCACACGTGGCTCGGTCGAAAGAATCGTAAGCTTTATGGTCAGCTTTGAGGTTCGTTGTTCAGTCATTGATTCAGTCATCAATTGAGTCAGTGAAATCAGTGACTGAACAAGCGAATTTGCCTAAGCTCTAAAATTCAGCACTTACCGATACTGCAACTAAGTCGCAATAACAAATGAATAAGCCGAAATATTGAGAAGAGCATAAAACTGCCTCACTAATCGATGATTAAATTGGGGAGATTGATATTCGGTACGGCGAAAACGTCACATGGGTCAACAGTGATGTAATTGATGAAATTAAAAACGAGCTGAAAAATTTAAATTTGTGAGAAATCTATCGATGTGCCTGCCTTGTTTGCAGCCAAATCGAAGCAACGGAACAATGTCGAATAGTAAGAAATTATCTGCCAATCGACCCAACGCCACCTTCAGAAGAGACGGCCGAAGATGATGATCAATTCTTTACGGCAGCTGATTTTCAAAAGAACGAACTGGGCTTTTGAATTCTTGATTTATAACAATGCGAATTTGAAGTTGTTTCGATTGTGCATTATACATTATGTATTGCATTCAGAGTATTAAACGATAGCTTTAAAACGATTAAACGGTGGGAATCGAAAAGAGTCATATCAAACGTGTACTATCGGAATTCATTGGGGCAACCTTAGCCAACCAAACACATACTTCTCATAGACACCACAATCCTTCATCCATGAGAACGGTTCATCCGTTGGTGCCCTTACAAGAAAAATATTCATTCAAAGTTCAAGAATAATATTTATTTAATTATTTAAAGCGATGGATTAGGACAGTGATTCTCATAGGGAGTGAAATTACCGGTTTTGAGTAATGTACAGGTGTCAAGGGGTAATGGAGGGGCTCGGGAAATCAGTATTTCGTTCAGGTGTTATGCTATGATAGGATGTACTTGTGATGGCGCTATTTAACTTGAATATGTGAATACCATCAGTTCATGGCAACCCTCTTCATTAGCTCGTGCAGCCTAACAGGGTTTTCATTCGTTTTAACAGGGTTTTCATTCTTTTCC